GTACTTCCCAGGCTCCTCCTTTTTAGTGAGTCTCTCTGATCCCTCTGAGCCTCTGCTGTCCTCCGGATTGGTGCCATTTTCTAATGATCTACCCATGAGCTTCTGGAGTTGGATTTTCTAAAATTCTCATGTGCCAGGGCCTAACACATTCTACGTTCTCAGTAAGTGTTGTTTGGTGCGTAAATGAATAGCCTCCAATTAGCCTTTGGCTGAGGTTTAGTGGGGGTAGTGCTGGTGGGATTGAGGACCTCAGGGATGTTAGAGGGGGTACCACCAGGTCAGTGGAGTAGCTGAGGGCCTGGAAAGGCAGAAGGGAGTGGAGAAACCAACTAAAAATGAATTGCAAAGCCTAGGTGGAGCCAAGGTAGCGGGAGAGCTATGGATACAGTCATCTTGCCACCTCTGAGATAAGTTGTACCATGGACTTCTCTCCTGGGCAGGGGTGATTGGGTGGGGGCACTGAATAATTTAAGTGGTTCTTAAGCTGGGTCCAGAGATAACTCCCATGACTGCAACTTGGTGTCTGAGCTCCTCTTTCCTGGGTTGGAGTGTAGAATAATAATTACTTATCTTTTTCAGCTTCACATTCCCCACGAAATGCCTTTCTAAGAACAATCCACATTCCAGGTCATAAAGGAGAGGTCTAGGGAGAGGCTAACACCTATTAAATCTTTTAGCGAACACCCTTCATTTTTGGATCTTTGCTGAGTCTCTATCTAGCCTCAGATTTATAAGTCTGGGTGTGGAATAGGAGCTGGGCTCAGATTGAGGAAAATTCCTGACCAGTGCTCATAGGTACAGGGTATCTTATAAGATGGGTTCAGGCCTCTAGAATAGGGATAGTCACTTACCTGTCCCAGCCCCAGGGGTCAGAAGAAAGGCCAACAGGAGCAGAAATGGCTGCATTTTCTCAGGAAGGCTGCCCGGGTCAGAGCTGTTGGTGTTGACTCCTTTCAGAAACAAAATGCTGGAGGGGGATGAAGGAGGGATGGGTACCTCCTGCTAGGTAACCTGAGGGGCTGTACAGCTGTGGTCCGCTTGGCCTTTCTCTCCAGCTGGTAGGGAAGAAGCAAGAAAGTCCAGGTCAGGCAATGGCCTTCTGGGCGCCGACACAGTGATGGGGCTGCACAATCTTCCCTCTCCTCTAAGGCATAGGAACTGACCAAGAGGTCAGGATGGAAAGGAGGGAAGAGCTCGTGTCACAGTGGCCACAGTGGGAGTGGAACCAACTGGACCAAGAAGAGCAAGAGTGGCAGGAGTGTGCCTCACCTGCAGTAGCATGATGTCGTTGGAAAAGTTCTTAGGATTATAGGCTGGGTGGGGGATGGCTCTTTTCACAGGGATAAACTGCTGGGTCCGCTCCTGTTCCTTGATATTATGGGCCCCCAAGGTGACATTTATGGAGCTGCACAGAGAGCAGAGTGAGGATGGGGGTGGAGTCACAGAGGATGCAGCCCAGGAGTAGTAAAGAGCAGATGACAGCTAGGGCAGGGTGGGGCTGCAGCTGAGGGGAAGTTGAGGGGACAGGAGGGCTCCAGGGCTGAGTGACTGTGCCCTCTGCTTCACAAAGACATGAAGAGTAGGGCTTCTGGGGGCTCTCTCTTGCCTTCAGGAAATATCATGAAATTGCTCGAGTTTGCATTTTGATCCTTAATGCATGGATTCAACCTTTACCACTGCTTTATTTGACCAGTGTGTGAAACTGTGCCACTTGCTCTGACCTCTGACCCTCTGACCCTGTCCTATTTCTCATCTTCTCCTCATCCTAGTCCTATCCCAGGTGGCTGCTCCAATGAGCTTTCATGGGCTTGCATTACCAGGAACTCTGGAAGCTCCCCTGGGCTGCAGTCCCCAGAAGAAAACAAGGATCCCTGTAGGGGGGGCTCAGAAGGTGAGCTGGTGTTGCTCCTTACCTTCCCAGGCAGTGAGCAGCTGTCAGCACAAAGTCCTTTCTCACTAGGATGCCACCACACCTCTTCTTACTCTTCTCATCCAGAAACTGAACAAAGGCCATGTAGGGGCGGGAGTGGGGCTTGGCCTCATGGCCCCCGATGATCTCCTCTGAAAGGAAAGGCTGGAAGATAAAGTAGCTGGGGATGGCTGCGGTCAGGAGAGAAGGCTTAGGATGACAGTGATTGACGGCGAAGTCTTTTGTGTGCTGCAGACAGTGAGGGAGGGTCCTCCTGAGCTCTGCAGGCAGCACTCCTTGCAGGCAGAGTAAGCTTTTCTGAACTTTAAGTCTCAGAACCTTCTCTCAGAAAGAATGGACAGTGCTTGACTTCTGCATCCTACTGCAGAAACATACATGGAGGAAGAAAGATCTATTTTCACAACGGTAGAACCCCAGAGGATCCTGGACTGTACTTCCCAGGCTCCTCCTTTTTAGTGAGTCTCTCTGATCCCTCTGAGCCTCTGCTGTCCTCCGGATTGGTGCCATTTTCTAATGATCTACCCA